TCCTAGGCCCCTGGGTGGGGCCCGACTAGTAACCAATGCCAAATCCGGCGAAACAACTGGCCGCTGTGATACAATTGTATAATAATGATAATAATGGTATAATGTAAAGAGAATTGCTTTCAATATATTGTTGCTATTATTGACATTTAGAATGATCCCTTCTCTTCCCCGGTCTTCCTTTTTCCATTGGCAGGAAGCTGCTTACCCAAATCTTTTGACAGTCACTGCACAGCGTAAAGGAGAGCAAGAAGGACCAGCAGGTCAGACAGTTAGGAAGAAGTTAGAAAGAGAGGGGTGCTCTGGGGGGCCTGATGCCTTGGGGTAGCAATGCCAGTCAGGCTCCTCTCCAGGTGTGGGTCCAACTTGTGGAGAAGAAGGGGAGTTCTGTAGTGTCCCTCAAGCCCTCACATGCTGGGTGCCAGGTCTACCTTCTGGACCCTGCCCCCTCACTCTCCATAGCAACCTCAGGGAGCCAGGAATTGTTGGTCAAGAGGGCCAGGTCGCTAGGCAACCTCAGCTAGGTCACTTCAGCCCCGAGTCCCTACCCAGCACTCACAGGAGGCACTGAGCTAAGCTCCCTCCCAGCAGCATTTAAATGTCACGTTCAGATGTTTTCCAAAGTTTCCACATTGTGTTGTTTATAACAACTATAATAACTAAAAGGAAAAAAGAAAGTGAAGTTCTGGAAATAAGGAACATGAAGACAGGGTGGGAAGGGATTCTGGGTGGCTAAACAATGATTGGTCTCCATTATTCCAGTTTGGTCTAGTAGTGGTTAACACAACAGGCTGGAAGGCAGAAAACCATGTGTTCTAGCCCCACTTTAGCCATGAAAGCTGTCTGGATGACTTTGGGCCAGTCCCTCTCTCAGCCAACCGAACATACGGGGTTGTTGTTATGGGGAAAATAGGAGGAGGAAAGTGTGTTGGATATGTTCTTCATCTTGAGTTATCTGTGAAAACAAAATAAAGGCGGAATATAAATTAAATAAGAAATGACACAAGACTAAGCTTTAAGAACAATGCATATAAAGCCAGAATTGAGAGGATAGCAACAGCTCTGTAAGGAAGTTGAAGAAAGCAGTGGACCACCTACCTTAATTAGCTACTGCAAGAAGATCACACAGTCTGACTACAAACAGCGGCATTAAGAGATCTATCCATATAGGGAATATGCCCGGCCAAGAATAGTGCGCCACCCAGACTGGAGTGTCTACCCCGGTGAGGGGAACGGTAACGAGCATCGAGGTGTCAGGTGAAAGGTAGAGATAAAAAAGAGCTACAAAAAAAGAGCTACCAGGGGTGGAACTGGCATAGCTGATAAGAACATGAGGGTGAATGTACCAATATAAAGGGTGCGACCAAGGGCCTCTTAAAAGGCAAGTAGGGAGGGATGGTTCTGAGCCGTTGAGATGATCTTGAAGGTGTAACCAGTGGCCTCTTAAAAGGCATATTGGGAGGAGTTACGATCTATGTCCGTGAAACGCAGGACTGTGTATCTATGAAGGAAGGATAGAGGATTTCACGTGCTGGGCGAGAGCATGGGACCCCACTTGGAGCGGGATATTCATGGTTACCAAGAGTAGGTACCCTTAC